TTTGATATATCAGCCTAAAATGTATAGAAAGACTTTTCTTCCACCGTACCACACGCTTAGGAGCACGAATAATTTACACTTGAGTAATTTTCTTCGAGACTTTCAAGGCACGTTGCGAATTTCAGTCACCTATATGCATTACTGAGTCGTCTTAGGAGAAAAAACTCGCCGTTAACAAATGAAGTGCTATCAACATGATCAGTGCTTTTACGCAAACTGGAGTCGTCGGTCGGCTTATGGCGGTCAGTGAACTGCCGCAAATCCTACACGCACATATATCTCGTCTACGAGGTTTTTTGTTGCACTCATTCATTGTAAGCGTCATCTAAAATGCGTGTACAAGTTAATGCACACACGAGACGAGCCCTTCTGGAAGTTAATGCAATGCACGAGACGGATTGAGCCAACTGTCTAGTAACTAGTAATAGGGGTATTTTGCTAAACTTCCCTACTCACGTCGTTGAATACATGATCCCCAAGATGGCCAGTAGTAGCCTATGTATTGGCAGACAAACACCATCGAGGAGGACTTCAGATTAGCGTGTTTCTTTTTGTTATCATAAGAGTGAGACTGCCTTCACTTTCGTAAAAGGCAACGTCACAGACAGATAGCAAGAATATTGTTTCTCCATGCAATGAAAACGTGTAGAAGCGTAGTGAGAGAACATGCGTGTACATTATGTAAATATTTATGCTCGCCCTGCTAATCAAAGGGACTGAGGAAACAAAAGTTTGAAAACTTTAGCACGAGGTGTCTTGGAGAAACTCTTATTAGAGGTTGTTTCACGTGATTTCTCATTTTATGTAATATCTTCATGCAACTGCCATTCATGCAACTGCCATTTAACTGGGAAAAACACAGTTTCATTACCAGAGCTAAGAATTGAATGCCATAAAAAAGAAAAAAAAAGGAATGCTATACGTAGCAAGGCTAGCACCTCATTCTTTCAGCCTGCGATCTGGCGTAATGAGCCTAACTGAACATAAGGAGTGCTACCGTGGCAGAGAGAGAAACAGCTCTCGAGCTGTTGATGGCTTCAGCGCAAGCTTTGCGATGGGAGCATAGCATGTACACGTGTGTAGATCGTCAGCTGACTCCTCCAAAGGCACGGCGCCTGCGACCACAGGTGACCACGCCAGACATGTCCAAGTAAGCATTTTTGCCCAAGCCACGCAAGCCATCTCTCATAGTTGCGTTGCCCCGGCATGTTATAGTTTAAGTGTTATACTGAACATGACGACCACGGCAAGAATGCGCCATGAGTATGCTATCGCAACAACAAGCTGTTTTTTATGTAAATTGTGGAGTACCAATCCTACCATCGGCAGGCAGCAGTGACTGTCACGGATTGAGGGTTCCAGCATTTCTGACACATTACTCGTTGATTTGAGCTTTCTGTCCCAGAAATACGTAAGGTCCAAAAGTCTCCCAAATGAACGCGCTAAACTATTGTACTTGGACCTCGGAGCTGTTCGAGCTAAATAAAAGACAAGTCTTTCCATCCAGCGTTTACGATACTAGATTAGCTGCTCGCGAAATACGAGCAAAACGACAAGGTACGAACAAAACGACGGTACGCTCTTTTTAATTAGCGGGAGAACGAACGCCCTTTTTGACAGTGACTCCGTTCGCAGTTCCATTTTATGCTCATCCGGGAATTCGCCTTCTGCTTGGAAGTCTCGGATGACCTGAATTCATTTCCTGCCGTAAGCCACGTAATTAGTTAGCCTTTAGCGACGGAGATAAACGTAGAGGCGGGAGAACATCTTCGAATTTCAAATGAAGAAAAGAGGAAGCTATTTTGTCATTGGCAAAGCGTGACCGAGGAAAGGTCTTGCTGGAGTTAATTGGCTGTGTAGCTACAAAAGATATAAAATCGTTCGGTTGTTGATGTATTTTCCTAATGACTGCTGGGCGAAATTTATCTTTTTCGTCCATCTTACTTTGCACGTGAGTCTATTGTATTGGTAACCCCTCCCTCCTTTAAATCTCGCTGCACCTAACGTCGTTTAGTACGGCCTCCGTGATCAGATAAGTGACTAGCTTCCTGCACCTGACATGCTTTTGCAAATCAAAGCCTCTGTGATCGGTTCGCTTTGGACCAAGCGACAATGTCGTGCGATTAAGTTTTCACGGTACATCGTGCGCCTTAACGAATTGTAGTGATATGTGATGCAATGATGACGTTGCACGGTGACGTCACTGACGGCATCAGATACCACCAAAATTTGTAGTGCCACACGACGTCTCATCATGACATCAGGTTACATTGGGGTCATGTGTCTTTTGGTACACCGTCAAAACACACATTCACTTCGGTATCACGTGACTTTAGCCCAACTTTTATTTACGAAGCTTTTTTTCATCATTCATGTTGGCACCAACGCCGAAAGGGTCTCGCCATGTATCGTCAGGTCTCGCTAAACCCCTAAAACTTCTTAACTCAAAAGCCATGTAAGTTCATTGCTTCAAAAAAGACGTTGCAGAAGTTTTTGGTGCACTATGATCATAGGATAGCGGGAAAATAAACTGAAAATTGTATGCTCAAACTTTGTGCTGAAACAATGAGTGGACAAAAAAAATAAGCACGAAGCACCAAATAAAAGAACGATTGAAGCGCAGCGAAACAATTTTTGGTTGCGCACTTACGTTTCAACACGCATGTTTGTACTCGACAGGGCAAAGCAAACAAACTGTACAAAAAAAACAAATAAACATCATGAGTGGTGCTCGCAATTAAGCATGCACGTCTTTTTTCTTTTAATCGCATTCTCACTTTGACTCAAGGGAAATAAATGCTGCTAACAGTGGTCGTTCTAATTAAAAAGCCATTTGTTAGCGTCGGTAAGCTTTTGTGGATATTTCTTGTGTTGTAAGCATACAAGTTAAAAATGAAGCTAGGAAGTTTGTCTGTGCAACAAAAGTAATTATCGGCAAAGGTAAACCTTAAAAAAAATGACAAGTCAAAGGTGGCAGTTATGTTTTGCTTCCTAAACAAGAAAAAAAACCTCAGATAATTAGGGTTAGGACAATGCAAACTGCTAGTACATAATCACGAATTAAACGAACTAAAACCAATAAAAATATAAACCACAAGGAAAAAATATGGAACCTAAATATCTGTAAAAGCAAAAAAAAAGTGGCCAGGTCACTGACTTTATATGGTTATATTTTCTTTCAGTCATTGCTTTATATAGAAATTACTTCTTTCATGCTACCATAGAGAACATCGTTGTTCTGATGTCTATGTCTAAGACATGCTCTAATATAAAGGAAAATCTCAAAGCAGCGCTACCATCCTCAATTTGAAGAAATTAAGGATCAACTTATGAAAGTAAGAAAGGCAATCTGTAGACCACGCGGTATATTAACAAGAGGCAAACCGTGCGGCCGGTATTTCACATTGTTCCGTCATCATTCAAGTCTCGCACTGATTTGGTGAGCTTTGACATTAGGCTGATGGTAAGGTATTCATAACTGGACACGAGGAACACTGGCAGTGACGAACAGTGCAGCAGGGCTTACGCCTTGTGTATGTATGTGTGCGTGCGTGCGTGCGTGTTTGTGTGTGCGCGTGTGTGCGTGTGTGTATGTATGTTTGCGTGCGTGCGTGCGTGTGTGTGTGCACGCGCGTGAGTGCGTGCGTGCTTGCGTGTGTGTGCGTGCGCGCGCGTGTGTGTGTGTGTGTGTGTGTGTGTGTGGGTCCGCGCGTGTGTGTGTGTGTGTGTGTGTGTGTGTTTTACGAGAACTAAAATCAAGTTTTCGGTTTGCTTGTTGGCTCACAATGTGCGCATTCCAGATTTACTTATAGCGCTTGATTTATAGAGCAGCAAGATTTCTTCAATGATGCTGTTTACTTTCTAAAACTCCCTGTTTGGCTTCAGAAGATGGCCGTATGCTGGTGATAAATGGGTGGTTATACTGTTTTCAACTGGATTCAGATGCTTGTAATAGTGATGATATCTGGTTATCCCGTTAGCGAATAGCTCGCGTATGGTAGGTGGGGTGAGAATTAACGAATAGATGTAGCAGTTAACAGTAGATGTTTATGTGTAGGATTATTTACAAAGAATGATGTACAATGCAAAGAATCAGTGAAAACTGGATCACACATGAAAAAAAAAAAACAGAGCTTTCATGCACAGCGTGCACAGCATCCTACCATTATAAACTAAAGCTGAAAGCTCTGAAAGCTAGAAACAAGAGAACGACAGCGTGGATGGTTTGATGTTAAGAATTCTCAGTTCAGGTATTTACGCTTCATTTGCTTTGTTGTTCTAAAATAATTTTCTAATAACTTACGCTCATTGATGGTGACTTTCCAAGATTTGTGGTGAAAAAGAAGTGCCATAGGCCACAGGCCAAGGTACAGGTGCAAAGAAAAGACCGAAATGGCACTTTGCGGGTGTTCTGTGAGGCTAAACTTTCGAACGCATTCGTTGTCGCCGTCGTCAACCAAAAACCTCGGGATAGCAACTGTAAAATCTCTTTGCCTCGAACTTAGAGGTATTTACTGATGTTTTGGGGCGCTCGTACGACTATATCTGTTGTCCGCGTTCTTCATCACATCGTGTAGGTGAAGTAGTGCACTTTGACGAAAAGAAAAGACACAAGAAAGGCACGACGCTAGCTACACTTGCAAACAATTTTATTTTAGCAACAATACTTCTTATATATGCACCCGCGCATCCCTGACTCACACAGGTAAGAACTAACGAGTCAAATGCATTCGGATCAAAGACTATGCGTGGGTGTGCAACGCAACTCGTTGTTATTTTTGCGTTGCTCACCTACGTACATACCTCACAGAGTAGTTCAAGCGTCTACATTGATCAATGCGAAGCTTTGAGTTTCATGCTCGGTCAATCACATAGAGCCCACTTTACAAGCTTTCCCTTTAAAGTAGCTGTGCTACGTCTGCATCATTTACGTTTTCATCCAGTTTTTTTTTTCTCGCATAAAAGAGTCGGCTCGTTTGTCTTTTCTGTTTCCTCTACAGGTATCGTATCGGGCGTGCAAGAGTTCGAGAAGACGCCGACTGACGCCGAGGTCAACCCAGGAACCGAAGTGCGGTTGCAGTGTCAGGTGCGAAACCGACGAGGTGAGTGCGTGTGGCTGAAGAATGGCCACGCCGTTGGCAAGATCCCGGACAAGTACGACTTCGAGCGAGAGCCGCAGGACGGTGACTGTTCGGTGCTCATTCGCAAGGTCAACTTGGACGAGGACGACGGCTCCTGGCAGTGCCAGGTCACCAGGGCATCTCTGGAGGATGCGGCGCTCAACTCTAACGCCGCGAACCTTGTTGTGAGAGGTAAGGCTTTGGGTTTTCAAGTGCCGAGCACTTTCTGTGACCAGGCTGTTGTATGCTGTCGTATCCGGTCGTATTCGCTCGGCGTAACGCAGGCAAACCCACTTGTGGCATAGGCAGCTGTTGCATATTGAGTGCACGCTCGCGTCAAACGAGAAGTCTTCTTCCTGTTGCTCTTCTAGCATCTTGATCATAATAATAGCGTAAGTCGTCTTCGTCGTTCTTTGAGCTCATTGATGATGATGTTAACGCGGGCAAAACCGCATGTGGCACAGCCAACTATAGCATACTGAGCACGCTCGTGCCAGATAGCAGTCTTCTTGTTCTTCGAGCGTCTTGATGACGATATTAAGCGTGGACATTGTACTTTGTCCAAGGAAACACGACAACACAAACCACGTATCAAAATCGAAAGATGGACCAAACGTGAAATACACAGTAAGGAAAAAAAGAAAAAGTAAGTAAGTACAAGTAAAAAAAAAGCGCAGCAAAATCTGAAATTAAAAGAACAAAAGGAAAGAGGTAGAAATATAGAGAAAACAGAAGAAAACAAAGCCGGCTGCCCAGCTCCGCTCTGACTTTAGGCTTGGAACCACGATTACGAAGCTGGCATGATTTTGTTTGCGGTATTACTACTGCTTCATTTTAAAATATTGTTTACAATAAATCCAGGTACGTATTCATTTTTTAAAATGATACTTACTAACGAGCTCGGTTGTCTGCTATTCTAAATCCTCAGGCGCTTGCTTCGTTATATCGTGCACTGCTCTTCTACCAGATCTTCAGGAGTAGGGAAAGACAAGAGACGGGAAAGCCGAAAATGCTGCAGGGGGACGCGTTGTCGTTTCAGCTGTCATTTTGTAATTTTAATTAAAATGTAAATGAGTTAACGTGCGCGAACAGACAACATGTCGCCTATAGACACCAAGCCTGCAACTTCCGGAAAACGCGTCTGATCTCTACCAATTAAGCTGCATTGATTGAGCATCAAACGCGTATCCATAATTTGCAGGTTGGTTCGGTCTTCGCCGGAGGTGAAGTTATCATTCTGCTCACGTTAATTTTTTCCTGTTCGTATCATAACTATTAAAATACATTTAAAATGCTACAGATAACTAACCCTCTACCTCCCTTGGCTTCATTACCTGTTAGTTTTCATTGAGCTTTTGTATAGAAGAAAAGCAGACCCTTGATAGATATTTTGTTAATTCCTTCCGCCAGTGGCTCTCACAGTATAAGAAAAGAGGCGACAGCATCGCCGTAAATATCACAAAAGAAAATAATGAAATGGCACACACTTCCTGGAAGGGATCAGTCATGCGCTGCAGAAGCAGTATTTTTATTGAGATCTTCAACTATGATTGGGAACAGTTGCTGATGCTAGTCATTATTTAGCCAATGCTATCTGACAAAACACACCTGTTTATTCAATACTAATATTAGTCATTTTCAAGGGAACATTAGCCGGCCCCTAACATCATTAGTCAACGCTAGCTGACTGTTGCTACGCTTGCGAAAATTAACCAGTAATGTCCACTTCTGGTTGTGTGCAAATAATTGTGGTAGGCAAACTGCTGAAAGTATACGTGTAAATGTGGTAGCACAGTAACAGCCGGCACCATTCAACCTTCTGCACTTTCTCGAGAACTGGCCTGTTCATTTTAACACGAAACGCGGTACGCTACAGGCTGCCAACAAAATGACGGAAGACACAGATATCTGTTAAATAAATATAGCTCGGCGTGGCGCAATGTCGTTATATATACGGTTTACCTCTTTGATCTTCTCGATGTTGAAAGACTTAGGATACATCACTGCATATAAGAAGGTAATACGGCGTAATAAGCAATTCATTCGAAAATATAAATGCATCAAATTCTCGTATACTATACCGCATATTTTATAATGAGCGGGCCATATTTTGCTGCTGTACTGAAACAACGCCAGTTGAAATCTTCTCCTTATATCTGAATTTCACATTTACATTTCTTATGACCACAGCGGAAGATGAGTTTCTCCGTTCCGACTAGCGTAATGCGTTCTTCACTGAACGTGTTTCTGCAGGCAACAGGACACAAAACAAAATTATTAGCCGAACAAAATCATCCGCGATCATTAAAGCACTCTAATGAAACCTCGGGGATGTGGCGTACAAAACTAATCTCCGAGCAATCAACATGAAAGGAGGTCGCTGTCCTCTTCGAAAGGTCATGTTTTCTTTCCAGTTGCGTGAAAACTGCTACCACGTGTCAAAGGGTGCAGAAAGAAGGCACTCACTATGTTCAATAGTACATGAATTCTGCATTAGGAAACACTGAAAGCGCATCTGCTGAAGTGTTCTGTATCCTCCACGGAAACCAAGCTGGTAATATTTGTACCACGGAGGCAGTAGGTATGTACACATCACAAGCTTTTTTGTAGAAGATTCATATCCAAAAAAACACTGTTCTGTGACAATTCTACCGGGCTCTTCCTTTACGGCAGGTGACATTATACTTAGTACAAGAGAGCTTTATTGAAAAGTGATTTTTAGAAGCTGCCACACAAATACACGTTTGCATAGCGTAGCGATGCACTTCAGTAAATTGTTTAAGAGGCCCTGAAACACTTTTTCAAGTAACCACGGAATAAATTCACTCGGAAGAGCCTATTGTCTCACGAATTCAACGCCGCAAAAAATTTAAGAATCCGTCCAGTGCGAGTGGAGTGGGAGCATGCTGCGATTTCATTCTCTCTTCCCTCGTCCCGAAGAAAGTCGCTGGGAGCTAAGCAGGGAGGGATGGCAGGGCCACAGAAAAACGTCACGTGCGCTTCGCGACCTTGAGCACTTTTTTCATTTTTTTTCGAATGCGCACTTTTGTCAGTGTAATCGCGCGCGCGTGGACAAGTAGCGGCCTCCCGTGGCGATCTTTGTAACGAGCGAGCGCGCCATGTTCAAATCAGCCAATGGCTGATACATGGGTCGTTGACGTGTGCTTTTTGGGCGTATAACGTGACTTGTCGAGAGAAGAGAAAAATTGTTAGCGGAATTTGATACTTTATTGTGAATTCAAGGCCACGTGCTGTGCTATATTATTTGGCTCGCGTGTTGTCGGGAGCCTCTACTGCCGATCGGCAGCGTTTTCTGACCATGCTCAAAAAGTGTTGCAGGGCCCCTTTAAGGAGATATGATCAACCAAAACATAAGCGTGCGCACGGAAAAGAGTAGGATCAAGGGTGGGGTTGACTCAGTCTGCTGGTTCACGTAATGTTTTAATAATCAGGGGTATGCTTACAGCGTGTTTGAAATTAATGGTTACCAAGGACTACTGATGCTGCATTGAAAGATTTGCTTACTTGCGACCGGTACCCCCGAGAAGAGACCTTCATGAGAAGCACGCCATCGCTTAATTTTTATCTTTGCCAGATCAGCCAGGAAAGGGGGGGGGGGGCAGTGGTGTCATGCGCTGGCTTAGGTTCAAACAAACTTCTAAACATACCCTGAAGCTTTTGTTTGTATGTTTAGTCGTCTGGAGGAATAAACTTGTCAAGTACGACCCAAAACATAGTAATGATAAAATGTGCCGTGACTTGTAATAGGCAAATGCCCACGGGCTTTAGGCTCAAGATGGTGCGACTGCAGAGCTACTGGGTGGCTGAAAATATCAAAGACTAAAAAAAAGTAATCATCCTTCCACCTAGAGTACAAGCAGAACATGCACCGCTGTACCATTTTGAACAATGAAGTTTATTCCTTCCTTCCTTCTGACAGGAGCGGTCACAATGCGAAGGCCATATTTTCGCAGTACTGAGGTGCTTACTTTTCGCATTGCAGAGAAGCCGCACCCTCCACGGCTAGAGGAAGGCACCCAGCCACTGAGCGGTCAGTTCAAGACCAAGGCAGGCGACCTGCGGAGGTTCCAGTGCGTGTCGCGCAAGGGGAACCCGCCAGCGTCGCTTCGCTGGCAGCTGGACGGCCAGGACATCACCGCCCTGGCCAACCAGACTAACCAGACTGACGTCGAGAAGCGCGGTACGTGGCAGGCCCTGTCCGTGCTTGACTACACATTCATCAAGGAGCACAACGGCCGGGAGTTGCGATGCGTCGCCTACCACGGAGCCTACGAGGACCCGTCTGGCGGGCCAGGACACAGGGACGTCAGCGTCATCCTCGACGTCATGTGTGAGTGTCTCGACCTCATTTGTGAATGTCGTGCTTGTCGCCGAGGTGTACCTTCTTGAATGGGGCGAAAAAAAAAAGAGAACAGCTTTCTAACAATTACGGCGCTTTAATTTCTTCGAGCATTCCTTAATTCATTACGTTAAAAAAAAAGGGTTACCTTAACTGTAGTTCTAGCGATCCCATAGCGCCAATTTCCTACTGGGTGGGTGCCCTCCCAAGCGACTGTAACTTCGTTCGGCCGAGCACCAGGCCCGAAGTGCGCTTGTACGTATTTAACCAGTATAGGTACCTGGTGACAGCAATTCTCTACCTCCCACAGCAGCGGCGGATGTTCAACTATTTCACCAACGCTGCGATGAGTTAACGTACGCCTAGAGGCTTTCGCTAAACTTTATAGGGCTAGATTTTGAGAATGAGCACCCATAAACAACCAAGCGCCAGGTTGGTGTACTCCTCTACCCATTGGGTAAAACCGGTGGTGTTGCGGTCGGCACTGGGAATAGAACCCGGCACCTCCCGCATCGGAAGCGGACGCTCTATAACCATGTAGCCACCGCTGCGGTGGCTCCCTTTTGTCTTCGTTCGCTCACTTTCTTCCTAGTTGCTATATCTGTTACGCCGACGCTGCCAATGCCATTGGCAATGCCACTGAATGACGTAACGGGTGCCTGAGAGCTGCGCTTTGAAACGCTTCTTTGGCAAATTTAGAGTAAAATTCAATGCAGTTTTCATATCGCTGACGTGGTCTAATGCCTTTTAGTATTGCGCTGAGGCAAATTCGACATTCACAGTTTTACATACCTGACTGGTTATCATTTACGCAGCATTTAGCTAGCCCATACTTATTCAATTTACATTTTACTATCGTTTCACTTTATCTGAAGAAGCAGTCATGGATGAAAAAGGCGTATTGATGGCAGTTCCTTTGAAAGTCGCTTCTGCACGCCGGGTCAATATTTCTGCTTGTTTAGTTAGGTCCACTGTTCGTCGCCTAATGATTTATTTACATGCTCTCGGTTGCCTAGGAGCGCATTTGTATGGCAGTTTTGGTTGTGTTCCCACCTATTTCATTTACGTAACTGCTGCTATAGTTCCTTATTGCGTTGAGCGACTCCGCGCCGACGGCGCTGGCAGTAAATCGGTTGGTGTAGGAGCGGCTTAAGTTGTCAGTACTTGCCGAAAGCATTGTGTACACAAATATTTGACGTTAGAAGCTAGGTTTCTCAGCCGTGATATGGTATTACACCTTTATAACCAAATTTCGACGAACAAAAGAGACTGAATATATATATATATATATATATATATATATATATATATATATATATATATATATATATATATATACTTAATTAAGATAATAAACAACAGGCGATCCTACATGAAATTTATTACCAGTGCCGACGCTCAATTCATCGAACTATGAGAAATTTCCTGGGCTTGAAATCATCCTTCAGTCACCTTTACAAACAGTCGCAAGGAGCGCAAAAGGACAGATGATGGTGGCGAACTTTCGAATGGTGGCTGTCTACATATGCACCATGGCGGCTCGTTAGCAAGGGTATTCTCATGCCAAATGCGATGTGATACATTCACTTCCTTGTTTCCTTGTTGTCACGGAGGCATTTTTTTAGCAGTCGAATAAATTCACACTCGTGTTGGCAAACTTTGATTGTGCAAAAGCAATGGTCGTTAAGTTTGTCAAGAACTTTTACCTACTGCGCATATCGGGAGGTGAATCCGCAGCTTCGGCATGTTGAATATCTGTTGGTTTCAGTAGTCTGGAATGTCAGTTTGTGCAGAAACACCATACCGAACCCTACCGGCTTCATTGCAGAAGCCTTGACGTCATTTTGCGATATGAAGAAAAAATTTCGTACGAGAAGCCACTCAACAGACATATCGAGGGGCCGAGAATCCTCTGAGCTAAGCATTCGTATAATAGCTGATGAGGTTCGAAAATAAACAGGATGAAGGGAACGTAAAGCATTATATCGACAGCGGATACAATTTCCTCTTACCGTCACGAAAAAACTAAATAAACGTGGTTGTCTTGATTACACGTGTCTGCAAATCTTTGTCATTTTCTTCCATGATTCTGCTTTTTTTTTTCTTTTGCTCCACGTTCTTCTCTTCTTCTTATACTACGTGCTGTGGGCGTACGGTTTAGTGATGCGCCACATTTTCTTCGTTTTACCGCAAAGCACATTCGTTTATGCTTTTGTTACCAAGTTCGCGCTTTTATCGACAGCTTCGCTTTACGTTGTGTCTTCGTTTTTGCTGTCTGTAGGCCGTCGCTTGTTCCCCTGATCGTGATGTCGGTTTTGTTGCTTCTGCTGCCTCTTCCCAGATTTCTGGTGATTCTGTCTCGCGTATCATCCCTGACATTGATCGCTGCACAGTCCTAGAACTACACGGAAAATATTTTGGTAGTATAATTTAGGTAGAGGCGCCACCCGAAATCTTACATAGACGTTATAGCTACGTTTATTGTGTGTGTGCGTGTGTGTGTGTGTGTGTGTGTGTGAGAGAGAGAGAGAGAGAGAGAGAGAGAGAGAGAGATGTAAGACATGTGAGACACGATACAGCCCGGGCAAAACGCTTTCTGTGAACAATAGAGGGTCAGAACATAAGATAAGTTGAAAGAAACAATGAGTGTGCACCCCAGAAACTATTTTCCTTTGCTTACTTGTTTACCGACTTATCAAAACGAACAGAAGCTTTAGAGTATTACCTCAGGCTCTTTCGCACTAGTTTCTATGGGACCATTAAGGACGGCAGTGGTTAACGCAAAACACTGACTTAATATATATATATATATATATATATATATATATATATATATATATATATATATATATATATATATAATATATATATATATATATATATATACAACTGGCGATTCTGCATGAAATTACCAATGACGACACCCAATTCGTCAAACTATGAGGAATTCTCCGGGCTTGAAATCCTCCTTCAGCCACCTTTACAAGGAGTCGCAAGGAGCGCTTAAGAACAGATGATGGTGGCGAACTTTCGAATGGTGGCTGTCTACAAATGCACTATGGCGGCTCGTCAGCAAGAGCATTCTCATGCTGCATGCGATATGATACGTTCACTTCCTTGTCTTGGAGGCATTTTGTTAGCAGTCGAATAAATTCACACTCCCGTTGCTGAACTTTGATTGTACAAAAGCAATGGTCGTTAAGTTTGTTAAGAACTTTTACCTACTGCGCATATCGGGAGGCGAATCCGCAGCTTCGGCATGTTGAATATCTGTTGGTTTTAGTTGTCTGGAATGTCAGTTTGTGCAGAAACACCATACCGAATCCTACCGGCTTCAATGCAGAAACCTTGACGTCATTTTGCGATGAGAAGAAAATATTTCGTACGAGAAGAAACTCAATAGACATATCGAAGGGCCGAGAAACGTCTGAGCTAACCATTCGTATAATAGCCGATGAGGTTCGAAAGTAAACAGGATGAAGGGAACGTAACGCATTATATCGACAACGGATTCAATTTCCTCTTACCGTCACGAAAAAAAACTAAATAAACATGGTTGTCTTGATTACACGTACCGGACTTGCAAAGTCCAGGTGTCGGACTTTGCAAGTTTACCGTTCTCAGGAAAATGCGGCATTGTAAGTGCGGCGTTTCGCAACATCTCTAGAGTCGACCACAAACGTTTGCACACCACGCGAGCGCACGTCAAATTAGAGTAACTGTGTAGGCTACCTTTAAGTAGGTGGCCATATCATGCAGTAAAGCCACCCTTTCCGAATGAATAAGCCGACCCGGCCCATCGGCTTTGCGCCCCGCCACGGTGGTCTAGTGGCCAAGGCACTCGGCTGCTGACCCGCAGGTCGCGGGATCGAATCCCGGCGGCGGCTGCTGCATTTCCGATAGGTGCGGAAATGTTGTAGGCCTGTGTGCTCAGATTTGGGTGCACTTTAAAGAACACCAGATGGTTGTAATTTCCGGAGCCCTCCACTACGGCGTCTCTCATAATCATTATGGTGGTTTTGGGACGTTAAACCCCACATATCAATCAATCAATCCATTGGCTTTGTGTGCTTTCTTGATCGTTCGTAACCCGTCGTTAAAGAAATGACTTCCGCTCCAAAGAAAAGAAAAGTAAACTCGAACAAATCATTGCTTTAGAGAGTACAGATGCTATAGCTTGTACGATGGCAGTCACCATAGGAAGTATTACTTCTGTTTTAAAATGAGCAAACAGAAAACTTGACTCAATTTGTTGATAATCAGGTATAAGACTCCCGATAAATTAAGCTCCGCAAATCGCTCGTTACACGTAGCCTTTAACGCAGCGCTTGAAGTTATTAAGTAGGTGCATCGATAAAATAATTGCTAAAGCCGTGTTTTACAAATAACGCAAGCAAACTAGAATTTTCAGCATATCTACGCAGCTGTGGCATAAAGTAAACACTCGCTGAGGCTTCGAATTCAATGCCGCACAGTGCCCGGACTGAATTATACTGACTTCAGATACCTATAAGGTGCGTATTTAAACATTCACTCGCACACAAATTTACCGTTCCGCCCTTGTTCTGTATACTGTCAACAAGCGCACTGCAAAATAATACATACCTTTTTTATTATCGCCTACATAGTCGCCGGAATATTTCCCTGATATTTGTAACTCCAATTCATAATCATATGTGAGTCAGGCGTGACACCTACGGCGATTTTCATTCTGAAATGTACTGTAACGCTAGAATATGTGGTGAGTCATATGGAACTGCCGACATGTTCGACGTGCAGTTACGATTTTAACGACTGACGGATGAACTTTCCTGAGCAATATACAAGCTGTGACACCGGTTTCGGGCTTATTCGACTACTTGCAATGTACTGAATTGAACTTGGTGTACGTAATTGCCAGTGCTACCTTTCGCCTGAACATTTAGTGTGATGTCGATTTTTGTTCCTGCCAACTACGTTACTTGAAGTGTAGCGATTTTCTGGCACGTGTT